GGCAGAGGGAGTGGGGGAGAAGGGCAAGGCCTGCCAGAGCCATGTTTGCCATGCTCCAGCTGGCTAGTGTCCCTTCATTGATTCTATCTCAAGAAAATAAAAGTAAATTTAAAAATTAAAAACAATTTAACTGTTTAATTCATGTTGTTACCTATTTTTTATAAATAAAATTGCCACAGCCTATGAGAGGAGAATAATAAGATTAAATCTGTAGCTCATTTTTGGAGAGGTAGTGTTAGGAAAAATTCAGTGTGGGGATTTTATACCAGCATTTTAACAAGAGAATAATTTGAAATGTTTCATAAAGTCAAGTTTCTTAATGTTTCAACGGATATGCAAATATAGCAAAAAATTATGTATTGTTTTTCCCCTTGAAGTTGATGATAAGATACACTAATGTTAAACGCTAGATTAGTTAATTTCCCATCTCCTGAGAGAGGCAGAGAAAACGTGCAATGTGTTCTGTCACTGTCAGTACATCTGTTCCGTGGTGATACCTGCTCACTTTGAAGTCTCCGAGAATGCTTTGCCAGAGGTCGTGGATGCCGAGGAGGCAGAAAGGCACCAGGCAGTGAACGCGGCTCTGCAGTGGGTCAATGAATCCATCACAGAGGAGCTGTGGGGTCTGAACCCCTCCAACCAAGCAGAGGTAGACCACAGGCTCAGGTAACAGCTTTCCACTTCAAAACAGTAACGGCCAGGTATAACTGACTGGCTCACCTCTTTACACGGAGACCTGCCATAAAATGGCCCTGTGAGCAGGGTTCTTAGATGTGTATCATTCACAATCCTGTTTTACCCAAGAAATTTAAAAATTGTTGGTATGTGCATGTGTGCATACACATGTGCACATGCACTGAAGGCCAGAGTTCAACACCAGCGATCTTCCTCCATCACTCTCCACCTCGTATTTTGAGACAAGGGACCCTGTCTTTACCTGGAACTCACCTATTCAGCTAGATTGGCTGGCCAGTAAGCACCCTTTGTTTCTGCCTGTCCAGTGCTAAGCTGACAAGCTTGTATCACCATTTCTGGCTTTTTACATGGGTTCTGGAGATTGAGCTTAGGTTCTTTATTCTTGCATGGCCAACACTCACTATGCTCTCTCCCCACTCCAAGAAATTTTTATGCATAGATATATAAAATTGATATACAAATCAAACATACTAATATACTAATACTGTACAAACATTGTATACAAGCAAAATATGTATATAAACATACAAATATACTAATAAAAATAAGCTTATTTAAAATTATTCTTTGGTATATAATTTTACGATTCATTAAGGACTAAGGCAAATTTGCATACTAATGAGATGGACATGTTTATTTACTTTGACATTTATAATTGAATCTCGGCTGAATATTTGATACTGCAGAATACAGGGCACCTTCAACTTTTTTCAGAGTTGATCAATATTTTTATTTATTCATTTTGTATGTGTGTGCATGAGTATGTGCATGTGACCATCGCCGCACACTTGTGGAGGTCAGGTGACAGCTTGCTGGGGTGCGTGCTCTCCTTCCAGGGGTCAAACTTAGGGTGCCAGGCTTGGAGGCAAGTGTTCTTGCCTGCTGAGCCATTTTGCCAGCCCCAGAGTTGATCAATATTTGATTTTATAATAGTCAAAGCTGAGTATATGGCTTTGCATCAGTACACAGAATACACAATTCAAATGGAGAATTAATTATGTTTATAACCATATCAGAAATAGTTGGAAATTCTACCCTAATCCCAAGCTGAAATTCATTTAACAACATTTTTTACTTTTAAAATCTTTTAATGTTTTATTTATTTTCATTTATATGTGTGAATGTTTTGCCTGCTTGTATGTATGTGTACCACATGTATGCCTGGTGCCCAGAGACACCAGAAAAAGTCACTGGATCTCCGGAACTGGAGTCATAGGTGGCTGTGAGCCACTGTATTGGTTCTCAACTTTCCTAATGCTGCTACTCTAATATAAGAATATTATATATATATATAATATATATAAATATAATATATATATATATATATTATTCTTAGATACAGAATATAAGAACTAATATAGTTCTTCATGTTGTGGTGACTCCCAACCCAAAATTATTTTCGTTGCTACTTCATAACTATAATTTTGCTACAGTTATGAAGTTATATGTAAATATCTGTGTTTTCCAATGGTCTTAGGCAACCCCGTGAAAGAATGGCTCCACACCCCCAAGGGGATTGTGACCCACAGGTTGAGAACCACTGGTGTAGGTGGTAGGAACTGTACTGGGCCCTCTACAAGTCTCTCTTAACTGCCAAGCATCTCCCTGCCCTCTCACTTGACAACCTTTTTATGAAACTCAAGTCAGCAATTGAAGCAGCAATTTTAAAAATCAAACATTCTAACAGTACAAACCAAAGACACACTACAATATTTACCTGCTGGGGAAGATAATAAATGTTTTTGTTTTACATAATTAAACCATGATGTTTCTATAAGATCAAGAAGCTTATATATACAACAAAATACTACAATTTGTAATGTACAGTAGTCTTAAACCTGAGGTGTTTCAGACTGGTTAGTTGGTGTTGTGTGGCAGTGCAGAGTACACATTTGTGTTCAGACCCAAAGTCACACGATGCAACGTGGGTGAGCTGTACTGCCCCAAACCCCTCAGATTGATTATGTGGTGGATTTGGAATTAATTTTCACTAATAACATGTTCAGAAACCTTCTACTGTTACCAAATAGTTTGCAATCCCCAGCATTCTTTACCTGGTCCCTTGGGAGGTTGTGACCCACAGAATAAGAAGCTGGATTGTAGACTGTAGAACTGGGGAGACAGGCAGTTTCTGAAGCAAGTTAAAGCAGCAGGGGTTCCCCGACATCTGACTTTCTCCTGTTACTGTGCTCTCCTGTGTAAGGTGGGGCCAGCCAGTCTCTTCTGCTGATAACTCAGGATACAGATCAGGTTACAGAGAACTTCCTTTCCCTGTGTTTGGGGTCAACTTTGAGCCCTTCAGATGGCTCCCTGTGGACACAGTGCTGTTGCTTACATTCTGCCCTCCAGCCACAACCAAGTCTTAGACCTTTAGCCCTTTAGATTTTTTAACTCTTAAGATCAGAGAACCAAGTTGGGCTGAGTAAGTGTTACTCAGTGCTACACCGAGTAATGGGTTAGAATTACCTTTCTTATGCAGGTGGAAGGCTCCAATGCCCTTAGCCAGGCAAAGGTCAACTGCAGCCTCTTTTCTAAGTTTTACTACTTAGCCATGAGCAATGCCATGTTTTTTTTTGTTTTTTTGTTTTTTTTTTTGTTTTTTTTTTGCCTCAGAGTTGGTTGATGACCTTCATAAAGCAAAACAAAAACAAGCAAAAAAAACTTTGAAAGGCATTTTTTTTTTTTTTGTCTTCTTGAGTTAAACGAGACCCACTTACTTCTGTTTTTGGCCACAGCTTCTACTGCTTTATTGCATCCTTTCTTCTGGAGATTTTCCTCCCAAACCTCCTCTCCGGACTGGTTTATGTAATTTTTTAAATTAGACAGGCATCTACAAACAGGCATCTTCTTTTGTCCAAACTGGGCCATGGTGGATAAAGGCAGTCTTTTGCATGGCACAACACTATTAGGATGTTTCCTATGACAAGGGTGCCTTTTATTTCCCCTGTCAAGATGTGCTTAAGTTCTCTTTGCATAGGCCAAAAACAAAACTGTTAGCCATAGGACAACCATGATACACATTTCAACAGCAAGAACCCAAAGTTATGTTAGACAGTCAAACCTTAGAAAGTTTGATTTTTAATGGTCTTTTTCAGTCACTTTCCACCTCTGGGGGTCGGACTCCTTCTATGGGTTCCTCAGGTACCTTCTTGAGGTGTGAGTGATGAACCCAGGGAGAAACACCAGTGACTGAACAGCAGTAGGCATCTGGAGAATCACAATGTAAGGTCCTTTCCATCTAGGTTCAAGCCAGTCAGTTCTGAAGCAGCAGACTAATACAGCATCTCCAGGCTGCAACAGTGAGCAGGTGGGCAGTACCCAACAAGTTGAGCAGCCTGGAGCTGAGGGAGAATCTTATCCAAAGTTAACTGAGATTGGAGTGGGGCAATCTGACAACAGTCCAGCATGTACCTGGAGGATCATGGGAGGTGGTTGCCTGTAGACTATGTCATATGGGGTGAACTTTTCTTGGTAGGGGTACATTAGACTCTGAGAAGGGCATAAGGTAAGAGGTCAATCCAGTTACCACCAGTTTCAAGAGTATATTAGTTAAAACCTCCTTTAAGGTTCTGTCATTCTATTTTTCCTGAGCTCTGAGGATGATACAGACAACAAAGTATCCGATTTATGTTAAGAACCATAGAGAGCAATTGAGACAACCTGGCCATGAAGGCCAGGCCATTGTCAGACACCAGAGATATGGGGAGGCCATTTCCATTATTAATTTTTTAGCTACCACTTGGGCCATTTCTGTTCAGGATGGGAAGGCCTCATCCAGCCTGTGATAGTATCAACAAAGACCAGTGGATGTTTGTAACCATACAGTCCAGGCTTGACTTCAGTGAAGTCCATTTCCCAAAATTCACCAGGTACTGTCCATTGAATCCATTGGCCTGGGAGAAGCATATCCTTCTTTGCATTTACCTGGGCACAGGTCAGGCATCGGTCTGAAATGATCTGAAGTTTTTCTCGGTGTCCAGGTAGCCAGACATGAGGGAAGATGAGTTCTGAGATTTTCTTAGGTGATAAGTGCATGCATGGCATGATGCAAGACAGCCAGTTTTGGCCAGTACCTTTGGCATGCAGATTCTTCTATCAGGCAAGATTCCCCTTCCATTGCGGCTTTCCTAAGCTCCCAAGTTAGAATATGACTCGATCTCTTCTGGATCACCCTCAGGAACATCTCTGTCGAGGCAGAGTAAGGGCTCAGGGACAGCAGGTAGTTCCAGAACAGTCTGGGGTTTGGGTTCCCTGAGAGCAGCCTCTTACCCTGAGTTTGGGGGCTTTTGTCTTTTTGGTGTCCTGGCCAGTGAATAATGGTCAGTTTAGTTGGCAGCCAGATGGCCTCTAGCAAGTGGACAATTTCATGTTTATTTGTAATAGTCTTTTCTTCTGAGGTGAATAAGACCCTCTGTTTATATATCTGTCCATGAACATGAACTGTGGCAAACACGTATCAACTGTCTATATAGACGTTCACCTTTTTTCTTTCAGCCCATCTTAAAGCCTATGTCAGAGCAATCATTTCTGCTCTCTGGGCAGATGTGCCCCTGGGCAAGGCTCGTGCCCACATGACCTCTTTCAGGCCTGTGACCACCGCCGCCCTTGCATACCCGGTTCCTTCTTGAATGAAGCTGCTGCCTTTGGTATAGCGATCTGCGTCTCTGAGAGTGAGAGGAGCTCCTGTCAGGCCAGGTGGCATACCTTGGATGACATCAGCATCTCTAGGCAGTCATGGATGGGCTCCTCAGGATCATCAGGGTGGTGGGATTAATGGCCAGCGATTTACCAAAAGTCAGTCTGTCCTTACCTAAAAGAAGGGCTTGGTACTGGGTCAGACTGGCATTAGACATCCACCGATTGGTGGCGTCTCTCAGCAGGGCTTCCATGGCATGTGGAGCTGTTGCAGTTAGAATCTGTTCCATAGTGAGTTTGTCAGCCTCACTTACAAGGATTGCAGTGGCTTCGAT